GGAGACCATGCAAGAGATGAGGAAAACTCTGTGCGCATGTTGCGTGCATCTGAGATGGCTGTTCCTTTATGTTGGTGGCATCTCCCCAGCGGCACCATACGGCATGATGGGGATCTGAGAGACGCCCACTCGTCAACATGTTTTGGAAGAATCTCGGCATTGACGAACCAGCATAATTGTGTCACCAAATACCAGAGACACTCTTTTGGCCTCTTATAAAGGGGTTTGGAGCAGGTGACCAAAGGCCTTGTGACTGTTTTAGAACCACAGGATCTGGGGTGGAGGACCCGGGGTATTGTCGCACAAGCACTCCTGATATAGAGAACAGCTCCAGAAATAGCAAGGGAGGCAGGGACTGCTTCCCCACCTTGAAGCCTGGAGGGGTTGGGGAACCCCAGAAAAAGAAAAGCCTATATTTTATTCCATTTCAAGGTGTCTCTGGTCCCGATGCTTCAGCACAATTAAAAATGGCAAGGTAGTCTCCTCTCAGCCAGGCGCGGTGGCTCAGACCTGTAATCCCAGCACTTTGGGAGGCCGAGGCAGGCAGATCATGAGGTCAGGAGTTCAAGACCAGCCTGGCCAACATGGTGAAAACCTATCTCTACTAAAAATACAAACATCAGCTGAGCATGGTGGTGGGCACCTGTAATCCCAGCTACTCGGGAGACTGAGGCAGGAGAACTGCTTGAAACCAGAAGACGGAGTTTGTAGTGAGCCGAGATCCCACCACTGCACTCCAGCCTGGGTGAAAAAGGGAAACTCTGTCTCAAAAAAGAAAAAAGGCAAGTTAGTCTCCTCCCAATAGCCAGTTCCAGCTTCTGGCTTCCAAGTCAGAAAACCTGAATGACTGCTCACCAGCTTTTGATTCAACAGACATTTTATTCAAACTCTCCATTCCTCATGAACTGCAGAGGAATGTTGCTTCTCTCCCTCCTCTCCCTTTAATAAAAATAGTGTGGGCCATTCTGATATCCTATCCCCAACTCAGGACGACAAAAGTATTAGGAGATGGCGCACAGGCCTAGGCATAAAGAGATGCTGTGCTTCCAGACAGCGGAGCTGTGCTAAGTGCAATGATCTTAGCCTCTCTGGGCCTCTGTTTCCTCATCTGTAAAATGGGGGGATTGCAAGCCCCGGACATTGCGGTCCTATAACACACGCATCAGGTGGCTTTCATAACAGAGACTAAAACCACAAGGGAAATATCAAGACAGTTAAATGTCCAGCTCAGCTTCCAAGAACAGCAGCCACATAAACAAAACATTTGACAGAGGCCTGACAAGACACAAATCTTCATGAAATATTGCTTTTTTTGCTGCAAATTCCCTCACCCCTTCCCCCCGCCAAAAAAAACTTCTTGGTTCTAAAGAGAAAGAGGTCTCAAACTCTTAGTCTAGATCCCCTTTCATTTACTCAACCAAATCTGACTTAGAATCAGTGGGAAAGAAAGGTTTGTCTGAGACACCAACAAAGTGAAGTGATGTAACAAAAAATGGAAATGAAATACGTGCCCAAATCAGGCTACGCGATTGTGCGTGTGATCTCAGGTCTGCACGGGAAGGCTGAACAGCTGGGGATTCTCTTCCCCTTTGCCATAGGTCACTGTTACAGCCAATTAATGCTGAAATATCCCTATTTGTCAAAGGAAGGAGTTGGGCTAGACTTTAGGACTTCTTTGTCCTAAAGATTAATGATCTTGAAATACATCCTAGGTTTTTTATGTTAGTTTATATCTATAATGATATCAATCGTCCTGACCTAGAAAACACTTTTGAAGGACATTTTGTGGATTGTTCGCCTAACACACTCCCCAGGGAGTTCCTGGGAAACCAGAGATTTTGCCAAACTTGATACGTCCGAGAGAGAGAGAGAGAGAGAGAGACAGACAGAAACAGAGAAAGAAACTATGTAATATCCTCCCTAGCCTTCCTTTAGTATTAAGCTGCAAAACCCCAAAATGCCTTATGCCATCATTTTTGGCACTTTCTAAAGTTGTTAGACTTCTGAGGAAAACTCCAGAACCAAATTTACCAAGCATCTGATTGCATTCAAAATGGATTTAAGTTCAGAAGCAAGGGAGGGAATTGAAAGTTGCCAGCTCGATCAGGAACAGGCTCGGTATCTCATGCAAAGCAGCCTGCTCACCAGAAAGGAACTTCAAGCACAAGTGATGCAGCTGCCGCCTGCAGATGCACCGGGGGCAAAAGTGGGCTTCCTTGGGGAATTAGTGCTGTTGTAAAGGAAGGCGGACTGGAGCTCATTACAGTTTAAGGGTAGGTGCCTCTGATGTCCCACGCACGCCTGCGATCCAGCTGGCTTGGCTTTGTGGCCACTAGTTGCTGGCTGGAGTAGCTTGCGGGCACCAGAATAACATGGAAGCAGCTCATTTCCCCACCATGGAGACTCAGTCCACTGACTGCAGTGCCTACGGCGTCTGCTCCAAGTGATTCTAATCAAAGACTTCTGACTCTGGGAGATGGTTCCTGATGAGGTCTGAACCCTGAGCACTGGAGGCTAATGAAGTCTAATAAGGGCTGGAAACTTTTCCAAGAGTCAGTAAGGGGTGCAATTCTCACCAACCCGATTCGACTCACATTTCTGGAGCTGCTGCTGCAGTGCATAAAAAGTAGACAAATGGTGACAGCCAAGGGCCTTACTACGGAGGCGTGAGACCTACCACTGCTCTGCGCCACTGTGCAAAGAACACAGAATGGGAATCAGGGCTGGAGCACCAGCCCCAAAGCCGCAGCCGTCTTGCTGGAAGAGCTTGAGCAACCTTCTTCATCTCTGCTGGGAGGCCTCAATTTCTTCATCTCTAAAACACGGAAGTTGGATCAGATGGTCTCTTAGGGTGGGTGTGGGTGTGTCTGGGTGTGTGTGTATGTGTAGGTATGTATGTGTGGCCTAATAATTTTTTTTTTTTTGAGATGGAGTCTCACTCTGTCACCCCAGCTGGAGTGCAGCGGTGTGATCTCAGCTCTCTGCAACCTCTCCCTCCCAGGTTCATACGATTCTCCTCTCTCAGCCTCCAAAGTAGCTGGGATTACAGGTGCCCACCATCATGCCTGGCTAATTTTTGTATTTTTAGTACCGACAGGGTTTCACCATGTTAACCAGGCTGGTCTCAAACTCCTGACCTCGGGCGATTCACTCCCTCAGCCTCCCAAAGTGCTTGGCTCACAGGCATGAGCCACGGCGCCAGGATCAATAATTCTAAATGTCAGCATTAGTATATACGTTTTAAGGACATGCCATTTTAATAGGAGAAAAAAAGTCACACGCAAGTGTAGACACGGGCATCCTGTCTAGGAGGCATCTGACTGTTCCTGAAATGTGGGCTGTGCCGTAAACACCTAGGATCCCGTCCTACCACCCCAGATTCTGTGTTTCCACCTCTTACCACATTGAGTTTTATCCTGATGTGTCCACCTCTTCCCTGTCACTCCCTCAAGCCACATGAGTGGTCTTAACTCTATTTGCCTAGCAACTGGATTTCCGCCCTAGAATCATGGGCTTTTGTCTCTGCATCATCCCAGATGCCCCAAAGGCAGGTTCCAGTGGAATTTTACTGGGACCGGTTAGCAGTTAGCATTTCTGGCTGACTGCTCACATTACACCCCAAACACACACTCCACTTCAGCTTGGGGACAGCCCACCGACAGCCTCTGCACCCTATGTGCCCTTTTCCCAAGAGCCTGACTTCGGCTCTTCCCTGCTCCTTACATGCCTTTCAGTGTTCTTCTTCTTTGCCAATCTCGCCATCCTCATGAAAGACCCAGCCACGATCCACAGACAGGCCTGCCAGAACTCCCACTGCTCTACAGTCAGACCCAAGGCAGCCACATCTTGGTCAGAACTTGAGTGATTGGTCTGGGTTCCTCACAGCAGCAAATTTCCAAGTGTGGCCCCTGCCCTGGCAGCATGAAGCCCCCTGGGATCTGGTTATCAATGTAGAGCCCCAAGCCCTGCCCAGCACCAGATCTACATTTTGAAGGTCCTTGGGTAGTTCAGATGCACATTAGCCTTTGAGAAACGCTACTGTGGACTGTCCTAGGTCAACTGACCCATTAGAGGATGCTCCTGGATAATAAGCACCATCTCCCTTCCCCTGGCACTGTAGGAGTAGGACGCCATGCCAGCATCAGAGATGCTGACTGGCCCAGGGAGGTGGGAGAGTGCATCCTAGAGGAAGACCATGTGCTGAAACAGGTACCCCTTTCCATGCAAACTGGACCTCTCACAGCTGTCCAGATCCTCAAGAGAGTGATTGCCACTCTCTTCAAGGTCCTACTTTGCAAAGAAAAAAGATGGATGCATAACTTCTAGGGGGTTAAAAGATTGATGAAACCAGGCTGCTGTATCACTAAGTATCAGAAGAGCTTCCATCATCACTGTTGCAGCCTCCACCAGCAAACTGGAAAGGTGTCTCAGCCAAGCCTAGAAGCGCAGCACATTACCGGGCAGGCACTTCCGCTAGGGAGCTATGATCCCAAGAGCTCCCCTTTTCCTTCACAGGGCTTTAGAGTCCCCAGATGGCTTTTACCTTATGGTGCCCCCGCTAGAACTGGGCCATGGGGTAAAAGCCAGATGGGTGGGTAGAAGCCAAATTTCTTACTTGGAAAAAGTTACATGGAGGAAGCAAGGTTTGGACTCCATTAAATTTCCATCATCGCTGCCTCTCCATCACACAGCTCCAACTACGAAACTGCTCCCCAGGTAACCAAGAGAGCCAAGACTCCCTTTCATAAATCTTTCTCCTCCTCCCATCCACTTTTCCTGATTTCTCACACAATGACCCATGTCTTCCTCCCAGCTCATGCCTTGGATCTATGAAACGTACCCCCATGCCCACAGGGTCCCCAGACCGCCACAGCTCAGCAGTTAGACCCCAAATCTCAGTTTTCAGAGCTGCCTCTTTAACATGGCAAAGTCATTTTCGACACATGCAGAGAAAAGCAAACTGGAGCATACATCTGCAGGCAAGAAAGATCAATTCTTACCATTAGAGGACAGCTAATCTTCTCTGGGGGCTGCTACCTCACAAGAGAGTCTCTGGTCCTGCCTGAAGTCCTCAGACTCAGTGCCAGGACTCCGCTGGGTTCCTCTCCATGGCAGGAAATGGGGCTGAGGCACGCTGCTAGCCCAGGGCCAGTGCTCTGGGCACCCCAGCAGAGGTTCCTGCGGCTTTGCTCATTGCTGTTCTTTCACAAAGAACCCGCTACATTGCATAGTTCCTTCCAAATCCGCTCCAGTGCTTGTTGGGAAATTAACAACTCATTCTGGACTTTCCAGATACAATGCTTCTGGAGGCCTTCTTTCTTTATGTTTATTTTTTCACTCTCCCTCTTTTTCCCCTTTCTCAGCTAAAAAAAAGTTGGCTGAGGTCACAACGAACAATGGCCAAGCTTGTGTCACTGACCAGATGCCTCCCACCCCCAGGCTTGTGGACAAGGGCAGCTTTGTCCACTGTATTTTAGGCAGGACTTCCTGAGCCTGCCCAAACCCTGTTGGGGAATGTTTTGGCCAACTTCTTCCCAACCCTAAGTCACGACTCTGGCCCCGGCCCCGGCCCCAGCTGTGTGAACCCAAGGCCAGATATAAACCAACATAAAAAGAACAGAGAACGCTCCCCCAAAGAACCATTGTGTGGAAAGTTGGTGCCTCCAGAGGGGCAAGATGAAGGTCTCTTGCCCTCACTCTGCCCTCACCACCACCAAACCTGCACAGATAATGAACAAAGACAGGGTCATGCAGGGTCTCCACTGAAAGGGGCCTGAGGATCGCAGAGTCATTAGTTACAAGTGGAGAAAGGGTTGGAACCCCAGATCAATACTGCAGCCACCAACTAAATGAGCTTAGGCAGGGGCTTGGATCCTTGGTGAATAGATCGTATAATTTCATGTAGAAAGCTTTTTGGAGCAGCTGAAGATGTAGCACTCAAAACGCCACATATTTCTGTGTTTGCTTTCAGATGTAAACCTTTGGGGTTTTAGAAACTGATTCTTTATATAGAACTAAATATAGTTTTCTAGAAAAACCAAGATCCTGAAGACTGAGTGGTTCCCTATTAAGCAAATGGATAAACTTATCCATGAAGAGGTTTCAATACCAACTCTTCGGTGGGGGGAAAAGTAAGTACTGTTGTCTAAGGATGGAGTCTGACCAGAGCTAAGCTGTTGTGCTACTACTTACTAGCTGCAAGACCCTGGGGAACAGCTCCAGCTTCAATTTCGAGTGTAAAATGCCGATGATCACAGTATCTTTCTCAAAAGATTGCTGTGAGAGATTTTTTTTTTTTTTTTTTTTTTAAATATACGGAGTCTCACTCTGTCACTCAGGCTGGAGTACGGTGGCGCAGTCTCGGCTCACTGCAATCTCCACCTCCCGGGTTCAAGCGATTCTCCTACCTCAGCCTCCCAAGTAGCTGAGACTACAGGCACCTGCCACTACACGTGGCTAATTTTTGTATTTTTAGTAGAGACAGGGTTTCACCATATTGGCCAGGCTAGTCTCGAACTCCTGACCTTGTGATCTGCCCACCTCAGCCTCCCAAAGTGCTAGGATTACAGGCATGAGCCACTGCACTCAGCCGCTGTGAGAGATTAAAGATGGGGTCATCCAGGTAAATATTTCACCTACTGGATGATGTAAATGTTCAATGAAAGCTAGGATTTTTGTTGTTACCATAGCCAGTGGCTGAAAGGGTAGGCCCTGCAGTTACCCTGGGTCCAAAAAAAGTCTAGACTGAACAATAAAAAGCAAAGAGCCCAATTAAAAATGAGCAAAAGACATTCCTCCAAAGAAGATATAAAAATGATGAATAAGCACATGAAAAGATGTTCAACATCACTAATCATCAGGGAAATGCACATCAAAACTACAGTGAGATATCAGCTCACTCCCATTAGGATGGCTTCCTCAAAAAACCAGACAAGACAGGGAACAATGGCTCATGTCCGTAATCCCAGCACTGTGGGAGACCAAGGCAGGTAGATCACTTGAGGCCAGGGGTTCGAGACCAGTCTAGCCAACACAGCAAAACTCCATTTCTACTAAAAATTCAAAAATTAGCTGGGCGTGGTGGTACATGCCTGTAGTCCCAGCTACTTGGGAGGCTGAGGCAGGAGAAATCGGGAGGCGGAGGTTGCAGTGAGCTGGGATCATGCCACTGCACTCCAGCCTGGGCAACAGAGAGAGACTCTGTCTCAAAACCCACAAATAAACAAGCAAACACACAACAACAACAACAAAGAAAAGAATAAGTACTAGCAAGGATTTAGAAATATTGGAACCCTTGTGCCCTTCTGGTGGAAATGTAAAATGGTGCAGCCCCTATGGAAAATAGTGTGGTAATTCCTCAAAAAATTAAACACAGAATTGCCATCTGGTCCCCCAATTCCATTAATGGTATATACCAAAAAGAACTGATAGCAAGGTCCTGAAGGGAGGGTCTTGCTGCCTGTTCATGGTAACATAATTCTCAATAGCCAGAAGGTAGAAAAACCCGAGTCGTCGTAAAACAAACACGATGGAATATTATTCAGCCTTAAGAGAGAAGGAAATTTTGACACACACAACCACGTGGATGAACCTTGAGGACATCATGCTAAGTGCAACAGAGATACAAAGAGACAAATACTATTAGCTTCCACTTAGACAGTGCACCTAGAGAAGTCAGACTGATAGAGACAGAAAGCAGAATGGAGGTGACCAGGTGCTGGGGTAAGGGGATGATGGGATTTAGAGTGTAATGGGTCCAGAGTGTCAGTGGTGCAAGATGGAAGCATTCTGGAGATTAATGGTGGTGGTGATGGCTGCGCAACCACGTGAATGTACTCAAAGCCACTGAACTATACATTTAAAAATGAGAGATGGTGGATTTCATGTCATGTATCTTTTGCCATAATTAAAAAAAAAAGCCTGAGGCTCATAGAGATAGTTTATGCCAAAAGACCCTGTGACACGTAACCCACATCATAAGATACAGCAGCTCAGGCTCTCCGTGTACACCCAGAGGGAAGCCGCCCCAGCCCCTTGGCAACAGTGAACAGACAGCCCCACTAGCTGAGGCTGGGGCTGGGTGTGGTGGTTTATGCCTGTAATAGCAGAACTTTGGGAAGTCAAGGCAGGCAGATCATTTGAGGTCAGGAGTTTGAGATCAGCCTGGCCAACATGGCAAAACCCCATCTCCACTAAAAATATAAAAAATTAGCCAGGCATGGTGGTGTACACCTGTAATCCCAGCTACTCAGGTGGCTGAGGCAGGAGAATCACTTGAACCCAGGAGGCGGAGGTTGTCATGAGCCAAGATCATGCCACTGCACTCCAACCTGGGCAACAGAGCAAGATCCTGCCTCAAAAAAAAAAAAAAAAAAAAAAAAGAAGACGAAGAAGACCGACGATGAGGAGGCTGGTCACTTACAACAGGACTCACTCACCATGGTTTGTCTTGTGTTCAATCTTGGGGAGACCGAGGCAATACAGCCAGTATCCTAATGTCCATCAAGGGCTTTTCTGTTTAGGGGTGTGGCACACTCTGAGGCTCCTGGAGGGGGTGACAATATGCCTCTCCCTTGGGTATATCAACTCCTTTCTGTGTCTGCGGCCAACCTTCCGGGTCTTTTCTCTTCCACGCCTGATGGCAGGGCTCATTTCTTCTCAATGCTACCAACGCGGCTGTTTGGGGCACTCTACCTCCCTCTCTAATTGCTGGGTATCGATCTGCTGCAGGAGTGATTCTGAGGATCTTTGGGCACTCACCCTGGACCAGGCGCTGTTCTACGCTTCACATGTTTCATGTCACTTAATCCATGCAACAAACCAAGTAGGAAAATTCTATGACCATCCTCATTTAATAGAGAAAAACAGAGGCTCTTGAGAGGGATTGGGCAAGATGGGACAGAAGACCAAGTCACGGGGGCAATATTCTAGGCCATGGGGCCAGCCTGAGCCAAGGTCAGAGAGAAACAGAGTGGGTACCGGCTGTGGGACGAGCAGGTAGACCCATTTATTAGAGTTTAAGAGGCGTGGAAGATGAGAAAAATAGTAGTGAAGAATGATGTCAGATCACAGGAGGCTATGAGGGCACCAGGAACTAAGAAACTTTGATTCTGTAAAGCAGAAGAAACCATCGGTGGATTTTAAGCCGGGTAGAAATCCCAATCTGGGCTCTGCTTTGCGGAAACCATCATGACCCCAGGGTATAAAAAGGTCAAATGTGAGGGAGAAACTAGAGGGAGGAAGCTGGCTATCGTATCCCCCCACCTTCTATCTCCCCCTTTCTCAGCCAACATAAAAACAAGAGAAAGGCAATGCTCAAGGCTACACTTGCAAAATGATCCCAAACCAGCCACAAAGAGGCGGCGAGAGCATCATAACCAGCTGTGGGGAGTCCCCCACTGGCAGCTGAATTATTTGCATCTTCTCTCTGTGACGTGGGAGGAAGGTCCGGGTGACGAATCCACACACTTGCTTTTGAGGTCAGACATGCCACAGAAATAGACAGGACCTAAGGTACATTGTTCTTAGAGATGGGCTCTCACCCACAAGAAGGTAAAAGCAAGCTGGGCATAGTGGCTTACACCTGTAATCCCAACACTTTGGGAGGTCAAGGCAGGTGGGTCACCAGAGGTTAGGAGTTTGAGACCAGCCTGGCCAACATGGCAAAAGTCCATCTCTACAAAAAAAAAACAAAACAAAAATTAGCCAGGCATAGTGATGCACACCTGTAATCCCAGTTACAAAGGAGGTTGAGGCAGGAAAATCGCTTGAACCCAGGAGGCGGAGGTTGCAGTGAGCCAAGATAGCGCCACTGCACTCCAGCCTGTGACAGAGTGACAGAGCAAGACTCTGTCTCAAAAAAACAAACAAACAACAAAAAAAAGAAGGTAAAGCAAAACTTCATTTGAACCTAGATGGCCAAGACCTTCACCTTCAGTACTTTCAGGTTTGTGGAATGAAAATGGCCATAAAAGCTTTCATAGCCTGTGACTTCTCAGTTTTGTAACAGCAGAGAGGGGACAGTTTTGAGGCTGTTAAACTTTCGAGGCTATTACACATTAACAGCTGTCCCCGACATCACTTTGACACTGCATCACACAGACAAACAGATACTATCAGAGACAACAATGCCTCACCCCAGGCAACACACAGAAATCACTGTCACTGCAAATCCCAGTAGGGCTCCTAGCCAAGGGCAAGGGACCTTTCTGGGCCATTACAAATCAGGAGGCTGGGCTGCTCTGACCTGACCTAAGCAGAACACACTAGTCCTGCAGACATTTAATTCTTTAGGATTCCCCAAAGTTAGTCTCTCAGAGTACGTAAGACTCCCGAATACATTCTAAGGGTTTACCATTTGGGTT